AAGAAATCTTAAAATACATTTACGCCATAAAATTTTTATGACTTCATGGACCGAAACATTTCTTTCTAGCTTCAATTCTATTTTTCTTATGATCCGATCTCTGGTGGGAACGCCGCTTCTCGACGCTCAACTGGAATGTCATCGAAAAATGATTCAGCTTTTTAGTTTATTTTTGTGTTTTATAATTTCGACTGGAGGGCGGACAGGCAAAGGCTGCGCCTTTACATTTCCCATTTTTGGGGATGATTGACCCTGGTCATGAACCAAGAAGCCTTTGGGGATAATGGTCCCACCCAGGCGTTGCGATTGCGCTTTTACAATATTAGCTTAATTCTTAAAACAGATTCTTGTTAATACACGTACATCAACAATCATTTGGAATAAATTTCCCTGCAACAGAATTTTGCAAATAATGCTTCATCTCCTTCTCCCCTCCCCTTACACACCTACATACACCCACACAAACCCACACACACACACACCCACGCGCCCACCCACGCATGCACCCACACATACGCCACACACACCCACACATAACCCACACACACACGCACACATACAAATTTTTCCTATTTTTTTAAATCAAATTTAAGTAGCTTATAGCTTACCACGAAGAGAAGAATCAACTGCATCCAACCAAATCTTCTTATCAGTGGTGGTGGTGAAAAGTGCGATAATAGTCCGGATACGCCAACGACGTTTTGTTCGTTTTTCCGCAAAATAAAAATACAAGTGATTTGGAGTATCAACCAATTGAGCATCCTAAAGATCTTCGGTAATGCGGGCAATAATTTTGAGAAAAAGATTCGCGGTTCCCAATCCTACCCGTATGCATAGTCCAGTCTGTCTTTACAGCTAAGGGATAAAACACAGGCTGCATCGTAAAATGTCTTCTTGTACATGACACTTAAGTCGAATCCTTCTACTTTACTATTCAATTGCGGACAAATTCAGTACAATCACCGGTTCAATTGCGGGAAAATATTCGATGGTCCTAATCAGTGAGGCATTTTTCATCGTGGTCTAAGAGTAGCAACGTTCGAAACTAGGTGCACGCATTTTATTATTATTATTGCTATCAGGGA